AAACTTAAAGCCCTAGACCCTAAAACCCTAAAGCCTCAAACCCTAAGCCCCTAAAACATCAACCGTAAAGCCCCCCCCATCAACCGTAAAACCCCAAAACCCAAAATCCTTAAAACCCTAATCCCTTAAAACCTTAAACCCTTAAACCCTTAAAACCTTAAACCCTTAAAACCTTAAACCCTTAAAACCCTAAACACCTAAGAGCTTCAAGGTCTGCAGGGCTCTAAGACTCTAGCCTAAACCCTAAACCCTAAACCACCTAAACCCTAAACCCTGGGCTCTAAGACCCTTGGATGGTTGCTTTCAGGAAGATCAGGTTACGGCTGTGGAGCTCAGGGAGTGCGAGGCAAATATAACCATGCTTATAGAAGGGACAGTATATAGGGGGGTTTAGGGTTTGGGGTTTAGGGTTCAAGGTTTAGGGTTTGGTGTTGAGGGTTGAGAGCTACCATTTTGTGGGTCCCTATTACTAATAAGGGGAAAGCATTTTGCGGTCTACATTGAACGGGGTCCCCCGACTATTTTAGGAAACTACGACATGTCAATGTGAATAGCGGTAAGGCTTCACGGATCAGGGCTTGGCGCCCAGGGTTTAAGCTTTGAATGTGGGGCTCCTAATGTAGGGTTTGGACTGTCATGCTTGGTGCATGGCAAGCAGGCACACCCTCAAATCGTACATCGGGCCCTGTAGGGATTTGTGTGTAGTACATGCAGCTTGCGTGTGGTTCGATTGCTTGGATGTAGGGGGGGCAGAACTTCAGAACTCACTCGAAATCTGCAAGCTGCGCTGCTCACATGTATACCCTAAGAGGTCGTTTGGACGTCATCCAGCTCATCCAGGGTATACCATCGGTCCTCAAAGGATCCATCACCTTGCAAGAGCGCAGGCATACCCGGAGCTCCCTAATGACATGATAGCCTCTGATAGCCGCCTTCAACACCAACAAGAAGCGTAGATGAGCCATGGTCTAGACTCCTGGTATCCCCCTGAATATTTTTAAAAGCAGTCCACTATACAATCCCTTAGATAACCCGCTTTAAGGAGTGTAGATTATGGCTCATATGTGCTATAAACCCTAAAACCCTAAAACCCTAAGCCCTAAACTTATGGGTCTTTGGGACGTCGAGCCAAACCCTAGGGCCAAAACACCTTACAAAGCACCAGCCAACTACAGGTGAAGGTTGTTAGGCTTAGGTTTAAGGCGTAATGCCGGGGCTTTACCTAAACCCCAAAGGTATGTAAAATAATGGCCCTAAACCCCTAAAAACAGCCCAAAAGGCCATAATTCTACATACTTTAGGGGTCCAGGTAATAATCACCAAGATTATGGTCCTAGGTTCTTTGAATAAGAACCAACGTGGTACAGGATACCTCACATAAATTACAACATGAATCAATTCGCAACTACGGTATCCAAGCTCCTACGTTAGGGTTTTCAACCTTCAGCAGCAGACATCCCTGAAAAGGACTCCTGGTTCTGCTGCTTAGCAGGCGAGACTTTTGGGGGCAGCATTTTCCTACCCCTGCTTAACCCTTTACTTACAATGGCCCCTATACAACCCAGTCTGTCACTTCCCACCCAACGGATCATGAGTAAGCTTTCCTGGCACGTGCGTTTTCACGCTGCAGTGTGATGGTGACAGTGCCGGTGCCATGATACGCTTGGCAGGCGCTAACCTTCTGAGCACCCAGTCGTGCATAGGTCTTCACAAATGGCTGCTTTGCAGTGCCAGCCGTGCGGGGCAGCTGGGCCTGCGTGCCTGCCACGACAGCGTCGCGCCGTAGATCCGCTGCAACATCGCGCGAAGTTGGGTCTTCTAGTCCGGTCACCGCCGCTGTGGTTTCTTTGGTCCGGAATTTTCCGGGCAACCGCCTCGGCGTAGCTTGTCCCACTCTCCACCTTTGTTAAGCAAACTACTGCCAACTAACCCTCATAATGTTCGCCCAATTCTAAGTGGCGTCTGAGCATAGACCTTAATCCTTAATCCAAACATCATCCCTGTGAGGCCCGCCGTGCCGTACATATACTTATCAACTGGATTATGCGAAGATATAACAACACCCTCAAGACTACGCATGCCTTCTGCACAAACATGCTGCACTTCAGAGTTTCACTAAACTCTACACAGCTGTTCGTTTAATGCGAAACCTCATGCCGGGGCACCCTGAGGTGCTAATGCTACTTAAGTTAATCGGCAAGGACTAAAGGATTTGGCGAAACATGACGGTGAAGCCTCAACATGCGCCCCAAATTCTCCAAAACCAAAACCCCCAACTCTAAATCCCGGACCCTAACCCTAAGCCCCCAACCTGTATATGAAACTTGGGACCATGATGTTGGTAATCATTCTCTATGAGCCCCTTTATAAACCGCCAACCGCCAAAGCCCAGTTTTTCTAATTCTGTTCATGTTCCTTTCCATTTGAGTCTCCATCTATTCTGGTAATGTTCCGCAACTATCCCTAATCTCCAATCCCAAAACCCATAGGCCCATGCTTAGGACCCAAAGGCGTATGCTATGCAGGCCCTGGCTTTAATCCCCCCAAATTGCACACCAGATGTATACACTCGCCAAAGTTCATGAGGAACCCGATATACACCACCAAAGGTATCCCCATATAACCCTTCCGCGGCTAACCCCCCAAACATCACTTGAAAACAATATTCGTATGTAGGGTCCCTACCCTAAACCCTAACCCCCTATTAAAGCCATTAGGGAAACTATGACATGTCCCAGGGTCCTAACCAGGTTCGGGGGATCTGGGAGCAATTCGAAATTTGAAGGCCAACCTCTGCATGCCGTGCCTGAGGCTTGTGACTGCAAACCTCCATTATCTAGGGCTGAGGGTTTAGGGTTTAGGGTCGCCACGACACTTCAACAGGCACAAACACTCAAGCACAATCAAGCATGACACTGCCCAAAATTCACTCCAACCCTATAAGCTGTGAGACAACTTTACTGTAAACGTCACACGCAGCAATCCCGGCTTCTTGAAATCATCGCCATTGAGATCTCAAACTGAAATCTTACAGACCCCCTACACCTCAAACATCCTGCGCGCCACTAGATCTCGAATCCCGGCACACTAAACTCTGAAACTGTGAATCCTAAACCCCAAAACCCAAAATGCCCAGCTCCCTGTATAAACCCCAAGCCAGTAACTTCTTGAACCCCGAGTCCTTAAACCCTGAAGTCCCTGAATCCCAGCCCTACTGACCAAATCCTCATACCCCAGCCCCACATCGCTGAATCCTAGCCCTATCTCCAAAGTCCTTAAATCCGAATCCGCATCCCTCAAAATCGATCAATCCCTAAACCCGAAACCCTAAACCCTAATCCCTAAACCCTAATCCCCTACAACCCCACATCCGTAATCTCATGGCCTTCATCAATTCGGAAGATGCGGAGCCCGGATCCTGGGCTTCGGGTTTAGGCTTTAGGGATTACGGTTTAGGGCAAAGGGTTTAGGGTTGCCGGTTTAGGGTTTCGAGTTTCGGTTTTTGGGGTTAGGTTGGGGTTTCGGGTTTCGGGTCTAGGTCTAGGGTTTATGGGTTAGGGGTCACCAGAATTAGGAGGTCCTCCCATTCACGATGTAAAAGCCCTGTACATAACGCCTATACAACATCAGTCGCCGTTTGATTTTGTATTTTCATCCATTGCATTCTCCATCAGAGCCTTTAACTCCAAGCCCCGAATCCTATATCCTAAGCTCTCACCTCAACCTTAACCCCAAAACCGTAAATCCCAATGCCCCCATATGAGCTATAGTCTAAGCTCCTAGTATCCCCCTTAATAACCCCTATAATACTTTCCTATATAATCCCCTATATAAGCCTTTTTTCAGGAGTTTAGACTATAGCTCATACAACCCCTTTAAACGAGCCTCTTTCAAACAAATTCCTAAACAGACACCCAGGATCGGTCGCCTTCTGCTTTGAGTCGCTCTGGGATGTTTGAGAATCCGATGTCCTCGCCAGCACTTTAAAGGGATAATTTCGCGGCCAGGGTTTAGGGTTTAGGGG